AATGTGAGAAGTGTTAAATAATCTTTTTTTGATATTACACATAAACCACACTAAAATGTCTTTCAGTAAGTAAAATGACCCATTTTAGATACAGAAAATTCTAATTGGATTGGCACAGTTAAGGCCAAAAATATAAAGTTGACATTGCTACCTTATCTTCAGCCCTTGCCTTTAAGAGGCAAATGAACACAAAATACAGGTGAATCTTGCTGGGTTCTGAGACAGTGAAGGAATTTCCTCCAGTATTTAAATATATTTACATAACCAGTTACATAAATCTAAATATAAAAAAATCTCCAATAGATTTTAAGATGGCATTCATCATCTTTGTGAAAAGTTGAACATTACTAATGAAATCTGATCATATCTTTAGAAGGAATAAACAATGATAGTATTTACTGAATCAGAGTAACTTGGGTTTTTTTGTGTTTTTGTTTTGTTTTGTTTTGTTTTTTGTTTTGAGATAGAGTTTTGCTCTTGTTGCCCAGGCTAGAGTGCAGTGGCGCCACCTCGGCTCACTGCAACCTCCGCCCCCTGGATTCAAGCGATTCTCCTGCCTCAGCCTCCCGAGTAGCTGGGATTACAGACTCGCCCCACCATGCCCAGCTAATTTGTATATTTTTAGTAGAGGCGAGGGTTCACCATGTTGGCAAGACTGGTCTCAAACTCCTGACCTCAGGTGATCTACCTGCCTCAGCTTCCCAAAATGCTGGGATTACAGGCATGAACCACCACGCCCAGCCTTTTTTTTTTTCTTTTTTTGAGACGGAGTCTCACTCTGTCACCCAGGCTGGAGTGCAGTGGCGCAATCTCAGCTCACTGCAAGCTCCGCCTCCAGGATTTCAGCAATTCTCCTGTCTCAGCCTCCCAAGCAGCTGGAGACTATAGGCGTGCACTACAAGCCCAGCTAATTTTTGTATTTTCAGTAGAGACAGGGTTTCACCATATTGTTCAGGCTGGTCTTGAACTCCTCACCTCAGGTGATCCGCCTGCCTCAGCCTCCCAGAGTGCTGGGATTACAGGCGTGAGCCACCGCACCAGGCCCAGAATTACCATTAAAATTCAAAACACCGAACATACTCATTTAACCACAAGCCAGTCTTAGTTAAATCAGGACTGCCCAACAAACATATTCTGTCAGTCATTCCTGATCTGAATTCTGGTTTATGAGGTCTGTTAAATGATGGTACACATAAAAGGGTCATAAGACATTTCTGTTTTGTAATAAATAAGACAGTGGATAATTATTATTCATTAGTAGCTTTTTTGAGATAAGCTACCAAGTCTGTCTTTTCTGCCTTCTTCTTAATGCTGGCAAAGATCATTTTTGTTCCAGGGATGTACTTCCTGGGATTCTCCAAATACTCCATCAGTGTGTCCTCTCCCTAGGTGATGCCTTTGCTCTTATTGGCGTCTGTGTAAGGGAATCCAACGGCCTGACCTGTCTTCTGCTCAAAAAGACAGACCATGGAGATTTGGCTCAGTTTTGTGCTTGCCCCCTTTTCCATAGTGTGACACTGGGCATACTTCTGAACAAAAATCTTTCCCAACATCACCCGCATTAAATTCTCTCTTTCATCACTGGTGCTACGAGGGTTCCCGCCCTTTTACATTTTAACCATTCTGGTGGCATCTCACTGTGATTTTTTAATTTCCATTTTCCTGAAGATTAACAAAGTTGAGCACCTTTTTATGTGTTCATTGAACATTTGGGTATCTTTTATTTATGAAATCTATTCAAGTATTTTGCCCATTTTTTTCTGTTGATTTTTCTTTTTCTTATTTATTTGTAGGTCTTCTTTTTTTTTTTTTTTT